ATAATAAAATTACAGTATCACGCTATGGGAAGTTTTTGTTTGTGTCTCTGAGCATCGTCTGGTGGTATACTACCACCATTAACAGCGGCTGGAGGTGGTTTTGGAATACAGCATTTGAGGTGGAATCTACTGTGGACCTGAGACCGGTTGACATCTGAGGGTTATACCCTATATGTTACAAAGGCGTATTGGCCCTTGCGGTCAGTGCGGGGAGGTGAGGAGGCACTCGGACCATTATAGGATTGTGGCACCAGTGGCACTCTCACGTTTTGAAGAATCACAGTTTTGTTTGAAGTGGACTGTATTTATTCACTTTATCACTTGCTGCAGTGTGGTATCCCTTTGCATGATTATATGTACAAACCATCATAGATATATGGTCACATTTTTTTCCCCATAGGGGACCGGCAGGGGGTTCATCCTTGCATGCATGTTTATTTGTGTTATATATATAATTTTATGTATCGGTTTAGGCTTATGTTCATTTATATAATGGCATTTGTTTAGCGCTGCACCATTTAATTTTCACTTATACACTTTTTGGTTTAAAGAGGGTGCTGGCTGCTTAGTTTTTATTCATCTGAAGCGCAGGAGGTTTTAATTATATACCCACATCCCTGCCTAACCCCTTGATCCACCCAACTGCCTACTTCAGGAGGGTTCAAGGTCAATAGCCTTCAGTTTTTTTCTTTCAAGTTTCTAGGGTATTTTCTTTCTGCCTATTAGAGTTTATGCTGCAAGGGCTCTCACACTCAATGGCTATCTTGTGAGATTGTTTGTTTTTCATGCAACTCTTTTCCTTTCATGGACCGCTCTTTCCCTGAAGTCAAGGGTTGGGAGTGTTAGGCCTTAAGCTAGCCATACAGGGATTGAAATTTAGCCAGTTCAGCAGTAACCAGCCAAATTTCAATCAATCTGTGGGCCATTCCTGTTTATGAAAAGTTGAACTATCGATTGATTTGTCATGGCTAGTCTTGCTGGTAAATTTCAGTTCAGTCAGAACTTGCACCCAATTGCTCGCTCCACCACTGCTTCCAAGCCCTGCTCTGTGTGTCCATACGCTCAGCCTCGCCCCTCGCTTTTCATCACTGGCTTTGATTGACAGCAGCAGGAGCCAATTAAGGGAGCGAGAGACACGAAGACAGCCTCGGCTAATGTACACATCACTGGATACAGGAGGGCTCAGGTATGTGGTATCACTGCGATAGTTAGGAGAAGGATTATTTATTTTCGGTTGTTCTTTGGTGGTAGGTTATGGTAGTAGCAAAAAAAAATATACAGCTAGATTTAATAAAATCATTCTTTTTACTATTTTGGGCCAGTTTTTCTTGATGATAAAAAAAATCAGGAGATATCCATTACCTTTTACCACCAAAAGAAAGTCCAATTTGTCCTGAAAAAAAACAAGATCTACTCCACCTGGATGCAAGAATTAGTTGCGATGATATGTACAGTTTTACTAATACATGTCAAAGTTGCAAAACTGTGTTCAGGCACTAACATTTGCTTTAACCTCAGTCATTAAGGGGTTAAAGATAATGTCTTGCTTTGTCCTTCTGAGTTTAATATATCTATATCCATACATGGTGCAAGATGTTACATTTTTATGTATTTTGTGTTTTTGCTGATAGCAACGTGCACATCATTTTATAAATGATCCAAATGTACAATGCTGTAAATGTATCAGCCGTAAAAATATTTTTCGGTATCACTGTGTATTTGAGTATTTTCAATGTGGTACAAGATTAACATATGAAGTTGTATTTGATATAAAATGCCTTTTGTTTGTGTAGGGGGCTGGACAAGAAAAACTTGGCATCTACATAAAGTCTGTTGTCAAAGGAGGTGCTGCAGAAGTGGTATGTATATATTTAAATTTGCAAATATTGAACTCTAAAACTAGATTTGGTAACTTCATATGTACTAGAGGCTAATGTTATTTTGTCATGAGACCAAACCTTTGTTAGTATTGTTAGCATTTTGTTAGCATAAATTCTTTAAATTGGGGATTCCTAAAAACTAGAAATATTTATGTATTTTGGTGATCTAAAATTGTTAGTTTTGGGAGCTTGTAAATAGTAAAAGAAATTAATTTAAATTTCTGCTGTTTCATTATCAGTATGGTGGATTTTTTTCTGCAGTTACCTTTCATCAGTGACATGTCCGCTTCAAGTACATCAATATATATATAGATTGCCACACTTTATTAGTAAAGTAGAATGCACACTGTTGCTCTAACTGGGTTTTTAAGCAGAAGGCAATTTTGCATTCTTATTTTATTCTGTTGTAAAGGTCGACCTTAAAATATTGGCAAGTGTTTAAGTTCCCCCTTAGACTGGGGATAAGTGGAGAAGTGCTCTTCTAAGGTAAAAAATTGGTGTCAGTGTTTACTTACCTAAGAGGAGATGGTTCAGTACTACTGGCTTTGATATGTTAAGTCAGCACCGGACCTATGCAGCCATCAAAGGGTAAAAGATCAGCCCATCTAAAGGGAACAATTGTAACAATCCCTCACTAAACCTCTAGCAACTTCTCATGGAAACATTGGGTTGCACAGAACCCCATTTGAAGCTGTCATATAGTATAATGGGTTTGGTTTATCAAAAATAGTAAAAATATAAGTATAGTAGATACACTTGTCCTTACAGCATTTCTTCTGTTTACTTTTTTTTTTTATTTTGATGTGTTTCAGTGTATTTAAACCAAAAATCTTTAATTTTCAGCATGTTTAACATCATGCTTCATTGTACACATTTAAGCAATATAATTTCTGTGCACTTTCTTACCTAGAAAATAGCGAGTAATCGCCCTTCCTGTTGCAGGCTAATAACACAAAGCATTACTTTGCAAGAATCAACAGTGGTGTTAGCCAGTTGTGTGGTATGGTTTATTTGGTCATTGGGGTACCTATCATGTCTTTTAGCTAGGCAGCCCATTTATAAACTGGGGGAATTTGCACAGCAGGCTGACAAAGTTGCTGCTAATTTCAAGTCTTCAGCTTTGTCAGCCTGTTGTAGGATGTGCAGTTACTGGCAAGATCCCCAGGTAAGATATTTTGCAACAAATTCATATAAACTGATTTGGTTAAAGTTGAAATTTTGTTAATTTATTATTGATTTATTACAGATACTTATGTAGTGCCAACAATTTCCACAGTGTTTTACATACATATTGTATATACACATTAGTCCCTGCCCTCAAGATGCTTACAATCTAAGGTTCCTAACTCACATTCATACTTGCACATACAAGGACAAATTTAGACAGGAAACATTTAAAGGCTAATTTCACCTTTTTAAGAAAAAATAATAAATGCACTTTTTTTTGCAGAAGAAAAAATAATAAATGCACATTTTTTTTTGCAGATAAAAAAAATGTGCGTTTGCTGTTTTTTGTTTTGGGAGCCTGGAAAGGATTGCACCAGCGATCAACAGATCGCTGATGCCACGCAGGACTCCTGCAGACCTGTCAGTGTATCTTTGTGCTCATACCTCCGTATGGGCAAGCAAATACACACTGACAGGAAGAATCAATGAACTACTGCAGTGCTCAACAGCGTAACAGCAGTTCAGTGAGAACTACAAGCCAACAGCCGCAAAGGCTGTCAGAGCTTGTAGTTTTCCCCATTCACAGAATACTGTGAATGAGTGACAAGTCCGGATCCCAGCACATCCATTTTTTTTTTTAAATGTGACAGCTAGGGGGGGAGATAAGGTTGGTGGGGGGGATTTGGGGGCCGGTAGAATGGTAAGATGTTATGCCCTGAATATGGGAGTAACATGTTCCAAAAGATGAACTTATAGCTGAGCTCCTCCATGCCTCCTATCAATTTGGAAGCCCTTCTCTTCACTTTCTCCAGTTCCCCGATATCTTTTTTGTGAACTAGTGCCCAAAACTAAACTGTATATGCCAGATTCCAGACTAATGACTTGTACAAGGCCAAGATTATGTCTCTCTCTATCTCTCTCTCTCCCTGCAGTCTATACCTTTTAATACAAAGAAAGTATTTTGTTGCTCTAGAAACTGCAGCTTGGCATTGCATGCTACTATTAAACCTTTGATCTACCATAACAACCAGATCCTTCTTCTCCATGGCCATGTTTTTTTAAATTGTGACAGCTAGTGGTGGGATAAGATCCCCTGCTAGCTATCATGGGGGGGAGGAGCGGAGGACGGTCCTTCCATAACATGTTACATGTTGCACCACGAGTATGGATGTAATATGTTACGAAAGGTGAACTTGTACTTTTAACCTACAAGCATGTCTTTGGAGTGTAGGAGGAAACCGCCAGAATAAACCCACACAGGGAGAACATGCAAATTCCAAGCAGGTAGTGTCGTGGTTGGGTTTCTTGTATACAGCTTACATAACTTTAATGAAGTGTGCCCTTTGTACCGCTGGCTGCAGCCTACTGTAAAAATTCTCTCTTCAGTGATGTCAAATCTCCCTCACACCATGAAACTTCCCATTCTGTATGGGTTAGTATTCGCTGTTGTGAAGAATTCCTGGCAATTGCCCTCATCTTCTTCCACTTTACTTATAGTAACAAAATTCCTTGTATTGTTTTCACAGAATGCAACACTTTCTGTGAATATGGGAGAGGTGGATTAATGACAGGAACTCCTCCCTCATTCTTAGAACCTGTTGGCCTTTTGTGAAAAGAGTACAAGGCTTTTTGTTAGAGAAGGGAAAAAGAAGGGCCACTGGCAAGCATATTGAGTCATTCACAGTCACATCCACTGCTCTTAACTAATGCAGCACCGGAAATATACAGTTGTGAGGGGAATTTGGCATCACCAAAAGGAAGATTTTCAAAGTAGACTGCAGCCAGTAGAACACACTTCATTAGAGTTAAGTTATGTCTCTGATACTGTGTACCAATAAAATTTAACTAAACTTCAGGTTTAAGGATACTGCATACAGTGAGACATTATACTATACATACTGAAAATAGATTTGGGGTTTTATGTACACTTTAGTAGTGTTAAGTGTTACTAAACCCAGGACCCTGCATTCACTATATCTTGTCTCCCACAGTACATAGAACATGAAAATGAAATTATTTTAGTAAATATAAACTGCTAAATGCCTTTTCTCATCAGCAGTTAGAGCAGTCTTGTGACTTCTATCAGTGTTCAGCAGAGCACTGGTTAAAGCTTGTAGGAAGAGTTTTCTCTAGGACAGGGGTCTCCAAACTATGGCCCTCCAGCTATTGAAGTACGACAAGTCCCATCATGCCTCTGGGAGTCTTGCCTGTGGCTGTCAGAGTCTTGCAAGGCCTCATGGGACTTTCAGTTCCTCAACACCTGCAGGGCCATAGTTTGGATACCCTTGCTATAGGAGAATGCAGAACCTCTGACCTCTGTCTTGGCAGTGCTGATTGGCCCTGTGCTGATCACATGCACTCTCCCAAGGGAAAAAAAAAAACTCTCTAGCAATACACACCAAATTGAACATGTGCATTGTCTCCACATGATATGTCTTATCAGGAGATAAGAGGGAAACACTGAAAGAATGGGAAGATCAGAGAAGTCAGGATCAAACAGCATGTTTACACAATGCAGAGTGTTAACCCCTTAGGTTCCACAGTGAGTATAACAAGCATGCTCTACCGCATATACAGACTGATTTGTAGGTTTAGTAACACTTTATAATATTAAACCAAATACAACTCTCTGATATTACTCTGAGAACTATACTTTGTGTTGCACTAATATCTTAAACTTTGGACTTCATGTAGAAATAATCTATTTAATTTTTTAGGATGGCCGTCTTGCAGCAGCAGAGACCAGCTCCTCAGTGTGGATGGAAGAAGTTTGGTGGGTCTGTCCCAAGAAAGGTAACATTGGTGCAATGAGACAAAATCTAGTGAGGAAGAACTTATATTGTTTTTAATAATGTTTCCTCATCACATTTGCAAACAATAAAGCCTAATCCCACTATGCTAGCCCCCCTTAACTCTCCTTAAATCCAGGTGTCTTGCCACCCACATGATAAGCTGGCTTCTGCCTCCTTTTTGATGTCAGCAGTGGGGTAGCACTTCATTGGCAGCACTGGAGCGTAGTGTTTTTTTTTTTTTTTTTTTTTAAGAGACTGAGGAAGGTTATACCAAAACTCCACCCAAAAGGGGAAGTTCTGCTGATTGGCATCCTCCACCCCCCCCCCCCCTCCACTGCTACATTTGGCACTTTTTGAGGAGAGACGATACCTGGTTTTGGCATGTATCCACACCCACTTCCATCTGAGTTTGCCCCTCCTTCTTCCATCCCCCCTCCCCCCCAGCCTTATGTGACACATCACAGGGCCCAGAAGACTATGACACCAATCACAAAGCGCAACACAGCGCCACTCGCACCGCTGCCGGTTTCCTACTCCCTGTATTCTAAGTGGCGCGAATATGCAGTTTCTGGAGCAATGGCCGGTGCCATCACAGCGTGTGCTCCACGCTTTAAATGTCTCCACACACTCCGGATTCTATGAGGCTGCACAGTCATCTCTACCTCTCCTCCATTCAAGGGACATCATACCACATACAGTAAGTCCTTCATATCATTTATGCTTGCGGAATACAGGCCATTGTTCGCACACATCTTTGTAGAAGCATAATTTATTTCCATTCATTTAATTCATGGAAGTGACACAAGCAGAAAATAGCTTTAGGACCCAGCAGTGGGGCTATTTTCCATGGAGGGGGTGTGGTGATGATTTCAACCAGTTATTCTCCCTATATGTGGTATGGGCATTCTCTATCATCTTAGCTTTGAAAAAGGGACTTCAACTCTCGAAACGCATCACCTTTTCCCACCAGGCACAACCATCACAGGACTCTAGTTGTGTGACATTGACCCATTTGGCTTTATGTTCATTTTTTACATTCGTTTTGTGAGTATCCATCCATTTCTCACATTTTTTAATAAATTAATTTGTAACCATGGTAATGCACGAGGGAAGTGTGCCCTTTTGTGTTTTTCTCTTTGCTAGCATCAAGACTCCCCCATCTTTAGAGGGCTGTACCTCACCAAGGGATAGTTACCATTTTATATGTGGAGCATGAAGATTAGAGCGCTGGTGTTTTGTTTCATTTGGAGGTTTAAAGCAAAACTTAAACTATAACTAAAGGCAAAACATTTTTTTTAGTTTTGGATAGAGTGGAAAACACCTGTCATTTTTTTTTTTTTTTTTTTTTTCTGTCTGTGTCTCTTTTAGGGAGATTCATCCTCTCTATTTGTGCTGTTTACCATTATCATTGAAAGTAAAAGAAAAATACCAAATTTTGGGTTATCCCCAGAAAAGTAATAGGGACACTAGTTCTGGTGACCTGGGGATCCCCAAGGATTTCCCTAAATTTACAGGGATTTCCTCTCACTTCCTCTTTGGCTATGGGATAGGAAGTAAAGAGATCTCCCCAGTGGGAAACAGATGGCAAAAAAAATCTGCCGGGTTCTACCCTCCTTTGCTCTATTCAAAACTGGAAAAAAAAAAGTTTTGCCTTTAGTTCTACTTTAACTGTATCAAAGCACCACAAACTGAAAACACTATTTAATTCATTTTTAATTTTCACAGCAAACTCACCCATCCACCCATGTCTCCATGCTTTGTTTTGCTGAAAAATCACTCTGAAAAATACTCCACTAGCATTTATAGCCACGGCCATCTTAAGTAAGGGCATATGATTCATGTAGCATTTACCTCTGGCATCCATCTACCCTTAGCTCTGCAATGCTGACAGGAGGCTGTGCTTAGTCAAGAAACCCCTCCTCCCCTTCTCCAGATGAGCAAAAAAAAAAACCACGACGAATCATGAGACGTATAACATCATTTTAGTCTACGTCAGAAGTCTGGAAGCAGCTGAAAAATGTGAAAAAAAAAAAAGTTTAAAACAAGTCAATCCAATGTCCAATCATATCTATTTACTAAAGATTTAAAACGCTTCTTGTGAATGGAGATAGTTTAATTCTGCTTTAAATTGCAAGTCAAATTGTTGCTTTTTTAAGAAAAAAACTATTGCCTCCTTCAATTGATATCATTGTATATTTCCATATTATTGTATGTGTTCATGATTGGAAACTGAAGTTCAACTCTTAAAAGATAAAGGGACAAAGGGGAGGCTCATGTTATCAGCTATTTCTGCTTTACTTTTGTTTTTCCTATAGGGCTGCTGAACTTATGACAAGAACGGGTTCAGTTGTGACGCTCGAGGTAGCAAAACAAGGAGCAATATACCATGGCCTGGCTACACTACTAAATCAGCCATCTCCTTTAATGCAAAGAGGTATAAAAATAACTGTCTATTTTCATGATGATCTCAAGCCAAGTAAATAGAAGGCATAAGAAAATCTATTTTTCACCAAAAAGATAGCCACCTTAAACTGATAGTACTGAATAATTTAACCAGGTTTATCGTGCATGAAGTGAGACTAAAAGAGTTTTTGCTAGAAAACAATATTTTAGGCAATAAAGAGCATGGATTCACAAAAGAACAAAGTTGTCAAACAAATCTGCTTTGTTTTTATGAGAAAGTAAGCAAAAACATAGACAAAGGGATGGCTGGTGGATTTAGTACTTGGACTTTCAACTTACAAGCAGACCTTAATGCACTGTTTCATTGAGCAAGTATGTAGCAAATGAGGTTTAACATTGATAAATATAAAGTTATACACTTGGGGGGGCTAATAACATGTATGCATTATACATTCTAGGCGGAGTCAATGGTGACAAAGGATCTGGTTGTTATGGTAGATTAAAGGTTTAATAGTAGCAAACCTTATCTCCCCCCAAACCTTATCTTCCCCCCAGCTGTCACATTTAAAAAAAAAAAAATGGTTGTGCAGGGATCTGGATTTGTCATTCATTCACAAAGTTCTGTGAATGGGAAACTACAAGTCCGGAAAAGGTGTCCTTACATACTGTCTTACATACAGTGAAACACTTTAGTTTAGGAACAATTGAATGATGTCTGTGATAATATTTTTATTTGCACAAACACCAATTTTTGGAGACAAACTTTCGAGGTATGTCCCCTTATTCAAAGCCCAAAGAGTACTGCTAGGGCCTTGAAGGGGACAGACCTCTAAAGCTTTTCCTGAAAAATGAGATGTTTGTGCAAATAAAAGTATCAAGGACATTATTCAATTGTTCTAGTTGCAAGTGCATTAATACGGCTACAATTACATCAAGCATTTAGCTTAGGAAAAACTCAATTTACATTGCAAGACATTTCAAATGTTCTTGCTGATTCTCTCTGTTCTGAGGTTAATGATGTGTACTTTGCTCTATGCTTTCTCATATGGACTGCTAAGTAGGCTGATATGCCTTTATTGTCACCTCCTGAGCAATGTCAGTTTTGTAAAAGGAAAAGTACATATTCCTTTAGTATATTGTGATTCTTTCAGCTAGGGATTACTTAAATTTTCCCTCAAGCCAATCATACACATAGGTGTTGATTTACTAAAACTGGAGAGTGCAAAATCTGGTGCAGCTGTGCATGTTAGCCAATCAGCTTTACACTTCAGCTTGTTCAATTAAGCTTTGACAAAAAAAAAAAACCCTGGGTTCTGATTGGTTTTTATGCAGAGCTCCACCAGATTCTGCACTCTCCAGTTTTAGTAAATCAACCCCTGAGTATATCAGATTCATTTTATTTGTTTTTTTTTTTTATATCACAGTTTAGATAAGTGTTTGACATTTTATTGTCGCACCTAGTTTTACACTGCAAAAAAATTCTAATACACATTGCAAGTTGCAAGTGAATTAAGTATTGAAAATCCGTACTCACAATTGGGAGAAAACAGATAGTTAAAGTGGTTCTAAAGACTCAACTTTTTTACCTTCATGCATTCTATGCATGAAGGTAAAAAAAAAACCATCTTTGTGCAGCGGCCTTGCCTCATCCTTACCTGAGTCCCCTCCGATCAAGTGATGCTCTCGACAGCCTCTGCTGTCTGGGGACTCTTCCTCCTCGTTGGCTAAGACCGCAACAGGAGCCCATTGGCTCCCGCTGCTGTCAATCACAGCCAGTGAGGGGGGCAGGCTGAGGTGTGGCTATGACTCTTATGGACGCATATAGCAGCAGCTCGGGGACACGCATGCAGAGGTGCCCTCAGGGCAAGCGGCTTTTCCTGGGGGCACTGCTCGAGGAGGAGGAGGCTGCTCTGTGCAAAATCACTGCACAGAGCAGGGAAAGTATAGATATGTTTGTTATTTTACAGGACAAAAAAAAAAAACAAGCTTTGTTGTCACTTTTAGTGATTTACAATATTTGTATGGTTGCATAAATTAACAAAAGAATAAAATTATTGAAACTACAAAAACAAATGTGATGGTTCCGTTGTATGCTAGATGAGAGGTGCCTTCACATTGAAGGAGACCTAAGAGTAATCATTCTAAATATTCAAAAACATTGTGAAGAAATGTATATGAGATTAGAATGTTGGCAAACTAATGTTTGGACCTCACCT